GACAGGAGGGGTCTACTGCGCCATGTGGGTTGCTCCCTGGCTGGGGATTGAACTCAGGCCAATGCAGTGATGATGCTGATGCTTAACTCCTTGGCCACCAGGGAGGTACCATTTTGGGGGTTTCTTACCAACAGAAATTATGTTTGTCTCTCCCAGACACAAATTTGCAAGTTAGCATGTTCACTTCAGGATGAATGAATAGTAATGAACAGTAAAAAGACAATCAAACAAAAGCATGCTTCCTTAGAGAATGGAATATCAGTACCACCCAGGCTGGCCTGGTAGTTGAAGCCACAGTGAGACACTGAAAGGACACACAAGCACCCACTGTCTGACACTCCAGTGCTTCACCACTCAGTGGGCCTCTGGCAGGAGGATGCCAGCATCACCCAAGCCCCACCTAGGGGATGATGGGAGTCTTGGTGGTACCGCGGCCTCATGGCAGGACATTATCCTGCAAGAATGGAGTCTCTCCAGGGTTGAAGGGGCAGGAGGTCAAGATGTCAAATGACATGGGTGAGGATTGCTGAGCCCGAGCTCAACACTCTGGGGGTACTCAGACACTCCTGGGAGACACAGGGAGGAACCCTAGTCACCTGGGCCACACACTGCCAGAGGTGCTTGGGACCTCAGCATTTCTAAAATTGTTCCACCCAACATCCTGAACTTGAACCTGGTCTCTGTCTACCCACCTGGGCACTGCCTCCTGGAGACCTGAGGCTCTCCGCCCCTGCTGGCTCCCACAGGCCCATCCTCTCCTGCCTCCATCAGGCCCCCAGGGCCTCCAAGACGTCAGAATCCTTAAGCCCACTAAAAAAAGCATGATTCTGAAAACGAATCTTCCAAATCATGAGCAACAACAACTGTTATTAATATAAATCTCAGTGGTTAACCTTTCATCTGTCCATCGGCCAACTTTACATCCAAACTATTTCATAACATTTAAAAGCGATATGCCACTTTATTGTCTCATTTGGGAGTCCAGTGAGCTGAGGAGCCGTGCCAATTATCAATTAAATGAGCTCCTCACAGCCAAACGAATTCATAAGCATAATAATAAATAAATATGTTCCCATATCCTTGCAAAGCAAAATACTTCTTATCTGGGATGGGGTGCATTTGAGAAACAGGGTATTTTGGGAGATGAGGTCTCCAGAGTGAGGAATAGGCTTGCTTTTCTTCTTGCCTGTGTCTCCTGGGAGGAGTACTCCGAGCACTCCAGCACCAGAGGGCTGACCTCAGGCTCAGAAAGTCTCATCCCCTGTTATTTGGAGTTTTGACCTCCTGTCCCTTTAACCCTGGAGAGTCTCCACTCCTGCAGAAGAATGTTCTGCCACTAGGCCATGACAACACCAAGACTCCCATCACCCCCTAAGTGGGGCCTGGGTGAAGGTGCAGAGACGCACTGAAACCAGGCTGAGCTCCCCCAGAATGGTGTACAGAGCTACCTTTGAAATGGGGGATCCAGGAGGCAAGAAGTAGAGCAATCACAGCTAGCTCCAAGAGCCAGACCTCAGTCTCAGGAGGCACGTCTCACGTCAGGCTCTGAAAGGAGATATGGGATCTGAGGCGCCCAGATTCCTGGCCTTGGGCTCAGTAATTCTCACGCCCTGCCTGGAGAGGAGTCTACTTGACTCACCCCCAGATTTATCTGGAATAGCACCCTTTCCCTGGGACGTGTGCAGAGACTTGTGCTTCTTGGGTTTGGAGGGATAGGGTGCTGGGGTGACAGAGGACTGCTGGAGATGAAAAGAGTAAAGAAATATCAAGTGCCATAAGTGGTCCCTAACTGGATCTTGGTTTTTGAAAAGCAACTATAAAAGACATTTTGGAGACAGAGAAACTTGATTATGGACTCAGTATTAGACACTACTGGGAAATTATTGTTAATTATCATTCATTGTGTTAGATGTGATAGTGGTTTTGGTTTTGCAATTATGTCGAAAATTATTTTTCTGGATGTCTATACTAAAGATCTCAGAACCACAGACACTATAGTTTACTTTGAAATGTTTCAGAAAAAAAGCATATTCCTATAGAAAGCCAATCTGATAAAACGTCAGTCATCACAAGCCTGGGTTGTGACTAGGGTACTAGTCTTGCAATTTCCCCTCCTGTTTGAAAATGTCATAATAAAAAACTAGAAGCCCTAGGGTGAGGGAGGGCAGGGAGCTGAGTCCCCAGTGCATTTTTCTGCACTGTAATCCCCCAATTGGAATATAAAATATTCCAGTCACCCAGGGGACCCTCCTCCAAAGAAAAGATGCGGCTGCCAGAGCTCAGCGGCCAGTGTTCACACACAGCAGCGTGTCCCCTTGTAGCAGGGCCTCTCCCGGACAGTCTCCAACTCCTGCAAACTGCCCAAGGGCAGATGCTTTCCAAAAGATCTGGGATCTTTCACGAGGGAATTACAGCAGAAGCAATATTTTTAAACAGAAAGCTAAAGCAGCTCTAAGTGGTTCAACCATCTATCTCCTCTGTTCCAGAAACGGAAGGTTGACGGGAGGTGGAAGGTAGCAGGGCAAACCTCTCCGTGACTCTCTCCCCCAGCACCTCGGGAGCCATGAGGGAGGGCGGGCAAGCTGACCCGGTCCAGGTAAAGACCAGCTCCTGCAGATTTCAGCGTGGTGGTCCAAAACTAGAGTTCTGAACCTGGAACAGCTTTGAAAGCCTGCCAGATTCAACCCATTTGAAACCCGGAGCAGGAGCCCAGGCTGTAACCTCTGAGACTGGGGGTTGGAGGGACAGGGTGTGGAGGACAGATGCTGAAAGCAACACCACTTTTAAAATTTAAATATAAGATAATGCTAAAGTATGAGTCACTTGCATGTAACACACTGTAATCAGCCCCCAGAAGAAATAGATGGGACAGCACAACCAGCCCCCAAAAGCCACTGTGCACCCCCAAAGTGTGTTCCTGACTTTCATCAGCATAGATTTGTTTTGCTGTTTTGAGAATCACTGGGACCAGGCTGCGTCTGGCTTCTTTCACTCACATTAGGGAGAGTGAGATTCTCCCATGTCGTAACGGCGCCATTCTGGCTACGCCATGCACCCTTTTGGGTGACTTCCATGATTTCCTTTCTCCTATGGGTGGACATTCCAGTGTGCAGCTGTAGGGAGTGTTGGGACAAGCCTTGTCACCTGTGGCTTTTGTGCAAGTACTTCCCAAGGGAATTCACCTAGGAGAGGAATTGCTGGGTCTCTTAAGCGTCCCTGCATTTAGCTCCATGGTGCTTTATAAATTTAGTTTATATATTTAGTTCATAAATTTAGTTACATAGTTAGCCACATTTACAATGTGGGAGCTTTAGCATAAAAATCAGGTTTACAGCTCTTCTTCCAAAGTGCAAAGATGCCCTAACATGGACCCACATTCCAAGTTTGAGTCTGGGGTTTGCGTTCCTCATTTTGCCCACCCTTCCTCACCCCATACACACACACACACACACACACACACACCTGCTTTGTGTCATCCTCCTGGAGGCAACTTGACATTGGGACTCTCAGTGGTAGATGATATGAGTGTGATTTTACTTCAACTCCATAATGGAAATTACTGAGATGCCTCAGTTTCCCCAATCATGTCATTCTGAATGACCCCATGGTCAAGGACCATGATCTGGTCACTCCAGTGGGGCCCTGGGCCTTGGACGCTAACCTGACCTCCCTGATATCTTGTGGTTGGGGCTGAAATAGCTGAAGGACGGGCAGGACCCACCAGCTGCCTGTTTCTAGCCCCTTCCCCCTGTTTCCTGATGGGGCGCCTCTCCCACCCTCCCTGCCTTCCAGCCCCACCGCCACTGTCTTAGTCACTTCCTTATCTCCTCCAGCCAGGTCTGATAAATGATCTCTTTCCTCCAGGTTGCCTCCTCCTCCCACTGCTGCCAAGATGTCTTTTAATTTAACTTAAAAGAAGTTTTGAATCAATAAATGCCATCCCATAAAATGTGATGAAAAGGAAATTTTCCTCTCACTATTTCCCAAAGTCCCTTGGGTTCCCTCCCCAGAAGCAACCATGGATTCTAGTTTTTTACCCATTTTTCAGCAATAAACATTCCTTGCATGCACACGTATGCCCCCTTCTTGTCTATTTTTATACAAACTGGGGCATTCAGTGTGACATGCTGAGCACCCTGCTTGCTGTGGCTCTTGCTGGCCCTTCTGCCTCAGTGCATATGGATCCCCCTGTTTCTCCTTAACGGCTGCAGAACTTCCTTTTGCCTTTACAACCTTTATTTAACCAGTCCCCTGATGAGGATATTTTGGCCATTTCCAATCTGCTGCTATCAAAAACAATGCCATAATGAGTATCTTTATACAGTCTTTGTGCACATGTGCAAGTGTATCCGCAGAACAGATTCCTAGATGTGAGAGTGTGTAGGTCAGAGAGTGTCTACATACCTGATTTTCAGCACGAGTTCCAATGACCCTTTTGAAGGCTTGTGCCTAGTTACACTGCCTCCAGCAGTAGCTGAGTGAGGTAGAATGTGCTCTGGAAAATGCCCTCGCATCCCATCACTCACTCCCTCCAGCCACACATCAGAGTCACCTAGGGAACTTTCAAAGCAATCCTATGTGTGGATGCCAAACCTTGAAGTTCTGATCTGAATGTGGCCCCATCACTGGAGTTGGTTGGGTTTTTTTTTGAATCTCCCAGGGTGATGCTACAATGTTCCAGGGTGGAGAACCTCAACTTTAATCTTCAGTGGCTCCCCCGTGCTACTGTAAACCTAGTTGCCCTCATCAAGGTAGTGAAGCCCATCATTTCTGGTTCTGATTTGCCTGTCAGGGTCATTCCTTGCCCATCAGGATTTGCCCTTCCCTGGCCTCCCACGATTGCTGTTTGCATAGATGGACTTGAACCTACTGGCACAGTCTGCAAGAGTCCATCATTAGCATCTCCTCCTTGCTCTGCTTTCATGTGGTTTGCAAGAAACTGGCCATGGCGGAAGTATTTTCACCACAGTTATTGGCAAATATTAAAAATCAAGAGTTACCTTTGCTCAGAGAGTTAGCTGTAGTCATTTATTACCACACCGTAGTTTCTTCTTCACCTCGGCTGGCTCACTGCACCTGGGGATGGATCTACACCAGCTCTTCTCATGCTCTGTTATCAGGAGACTTCAAGCTTCTGTAATGGCAGTGATGAAAATAATAATTTATTGGATGGGAAAAAGGTATAAACTTCTAGTCCCAAAATAAATAAGCCCTGGGGATGTCATGTACAGCGTGAGGACTATAGCTAATAATACCATATGCACATTAGAACATTGCTAAGAGCATAGATCTTAAAAGTTACACACACAAAAAAACTTGTCACACACAAAAAAACTCTTTGTCCCTACAGGTGGGGACGAATGTTAGACTTATTATCTTGGTCATATGGACTTGTAAACAAATAGCAAATAATTATGATGTATACCTGAAACAATGCAATATGTCGATTGTACCTCAATTAAAACAAATTCTTAGCCAGATCTTCCTGTGTACCCAGCACTGGAATCAGCGCTTCAAGTGCATGAACTTGTGGATTCCTGACAACAACACTGGATGATATCCCAGAACTAGCATCCCCTGACTCTCCTGCAGCCCACAGAGGAAAGTTGACTTCCCAAGGTCACACAGCCACCATGTGACAGCCTTGAGAGCTTCGGTCCTCGATAAATGTTTGTTGCATGGATGGCTGGATCCTACTCTCTGGAAGCAAGCGTGGGGACCTGGCGCACAGACAAGGCAGGAGCTTCCCCTTGACATTGTGCAAATATTTCTCCTGGTTACTTGCAACCTGCCTCCCTTTCCCCAGCCAGGCTCAGCTCCATTTCCCATGGCTGTTCGTATCCCATTTTGGTAACAAATACCAAAAATTCAGCAACCGAGTGCAGCACAGATGTATATTCTCTTGCAGTCCTGGAGCTTCTTGGTCTAACATAGCTCTGGCTGGGCTAAAACACATTCACTCCTAAATCCTTCACACAAATGTGCCACCTTACATGGCAAGAGGGGATTTGCAGATGTGATTGCATTAGGGCCATCCTGGATGATGCAAGAGCTCAAGGTCATACCAGGGTGCTTATCAGAGAGAAGCAGGAGTTCAGAGACAGAGGTGAGGACAGAAGCAGAGGTCAGAGGGGCACAGCTACTAGCCAAGGACTGCGGGCAGCCCAGAGGAGCTGGAGATGGGATCTCCCCTGGAGACCCCACCCAGAACACAGGCCAGGCTCTAGTGCCACAGACCCACTTCAGATTTCTGGATTCCAGAACCACAAGATGATACCTTTGTGTATCATCCAGGCAAGAGTCTGAATCGGCAGTCCTGACCGAGCCTGGCCGGTCAGAGAAAGTTCCTCTGGGGGTTCCAAGGGCTTATACTAGATCAGTGTCCATTTTCTTTTTTAAATTGTAATAGCTGTGAAAATACTGTTAATGCATTTCTTCAAATACACTCTTTCCTGGGTGACTTGGACAAAATTGTGAACAAGCACACTCACAGAAGCACTTAAAGGGGACTAGTTTCTCGCCTCACTCTCTTCAAAGTGCCTCCTGTGTTCAGTGCTCCTGGTACATCAATAGGCGGGTGCGGTCATCTTCATTTCACAGATAAAGAAATTGAGGCACAGAGAGGTTAAGAAATTTGCTTGAGGTCATCCAGCAGGGAAGTAGAAAATTCCTGATTTCAACCCACACACTTCAGATCCCAAGAGAACTGAGAGGCAGGGGGATAAAACTGGGGGAGGGTGGGATTTAGGCAGGCAGTTTACGTCAAATAAATAATAAAGAGTTGGAGCGGGGGAGGGAGTGAAGAGACAGAGAGAAGAGGAAATAGCATGAGCTGGAGAGATAATTGGGGCATCTAATCTAGGACAGGTGTTAGATTCTGAGAGAACTGGGGGTCAGGGGACAGGGCATGGCATCTCCACTGCTAGCAGGTACCCTGGAGTCTCTGTGTGGAGGTGGTGGGTCTGTGCATCTGTGCATCGTGGCATTTGGGATGTTACACTTATAAACTCACTATGGGAAACAGATCAGGAGGTGCTGTCCTGGGGAGGCCAGGGTGGCAGGCAGGGAGCCTCATGTGTCTGTCCTCCCTCTGGTAACCCCCCACTCCAGAATTCTCAATCGCCTCTACAGAACCCTTGGGTTTCCAGCAATACCACTTGAAAAATTTCATTCTTTTGGCTTCTCATCTCCTGCCTGGGTTGCTCAGGACATAGAACGACCCCTGGGGCCAGCAGCTCCTGCACCCCCTCCAGGAATCTGCGAGGAAGCTCAAATTCATAACTTCCTCACTCCTAGATCCTTTCATCAGAACTCAAAGTTACTGTTTAGTTGCTGTTTAGTCCACCCCCAAGGAGACTCTGAGGGAGCCTCTCCCTTGGACCGTCAGGCCCCAAGTAAGGATAACTCACTTGGGAAGCCAAGAGACTGGGCCTCAGTACCTCTTAAAAAAATTAAGGCATGTACTCTGAGCGCCTAAACAAGAAGATGGCTCTGCATCTCCAGCCATCACTGCTTCCTCAATCTCCTTTGTGCTCTGAGAAAACAGGCCCAGAGAGGTGAAGTGACTCACCAAAGACACACAGCATGGCAGCGCAGAGGAGAGGCTGGGACCTGCCTTAGAACTATACCTCTTCCTTGTCACATCTATCGCACAGTCAAACTCACAGAAGGAAACTGCTCTGTGGCTTCCGCTGGGAAATTCCCCTCATTCCTATATTTTTCATAAACAAGGATACTGAGGCTCAGAGGCACTCAGAGGCACAAAGTCACCTGCTCAAGGTCACCAGGCCATTTCCCCCCAGCAGGTGAGTCAGGTGTGACTATAAACTCACACCCCTTCCTGGTCCATCAGCGTGTCCAGAGCTCCCTGCTCCCACCCACCAGCACTCCGAGGCTGGGTTCTCTGTGCACCCATTCCGGGCCTGGGCTGCTTAAAAGCAGCACAGAGTTCCTTCTGCAGCCTCTACCTGAGCAGTTCCCCATCATCAGCACACCCTGAGCTGCCTCCAGGATGCCAGGAACAGTTGCTGCAGATGCCCCGTCCCCAAGCTGGCCTCTGCTTCTTCTGAGAGTCATGCACCTCTTGGCGGGGAGTGAGGACAGCTCTCTATGCCTTCCAGGCTGTTGGCAGAGTGCGGCTGCTGCTGCTCCTGCCTGCTGCCTGACTGATGGAGAGATTATTTCTAAGCCCTTCCCATTCCCGCCCCCCCCCTTGCAGGACCACAGTGGCAGTCCCGTGGGGCTGGGAGGGCAGAGCCCGCTGCTGAAGCAGGACAGCTGTCCGGCTCCCTCCTGGCATGAACCCCTTAGATCCTCACCTCTCACGGGGAAAGGAGGGTCTTTTTAACACCCCCTCACCACCCCCCCAGACACACCTGGCTGTTCTGCAGCTACTGGAGAGGGAGATGCAGAGTGAATGGACTTCTGGTTTCTGGAGGAGGCGCAAGGGAAGAGAGGTTGGAAACTAACTCTGCCAGAAACTGCTGTGTTGGGGATTCTTCTTTTCTTCCCTTTCATCTCCACCACAAAACTTCCTCTTCCCTGGGCATGGAGACATGGGCTCTGCCTGGCAGAGAAACAGCTCCCTGAGACAGGAGGGTGAGTCAAACTTTGGGGAAGAAGTTAGCATTTGCTGGAGGGCTGGGGTTTTGCAGGGTGATGGTAAACAAGGTTGGTCAAAGTGCTGTTTTGAGAGGTTCCCTCACCCCAACCCCCAGCTCCAGAAGGGGCTCTGTGTGTGAGTGGTTGGGGGTCAGGCAGCCAGTGGATTGTAAAGTGGGGTTTGTGCAGTGACTGCAGAAGGGGCTTTTGGGGAGGGGGTTGGAGAAAGAGTGGCAGGCTGGGAAACAGAGTGCTGGGTGGATTCTGAGGCACCGTGTGACCTTGGACAAGTCATCGCCTCTCTTGGGTCTTGTTTTTTTTGCATTTGGGAAATGAGAATGCTTGGGAAGGGCTCCCCAGATTTCAAAATACTCCTCTCTGCAGGCTGCTCATTTTCCTGGGGCCCGCTGTTGTCAGCGAAGTAACGCATGCAGAATAACAGAATGGTGTGTGGTGAGCAAGTGTGAAGTACATGAGCTGTGAGTCAACCCCTCGCCGTCTGCCGGAATCCAGCTGGCTCTGAAATTGAGATGAACTTTTATTTCCATTCAGCCACCGAATTTTACTCTTGACTGGAATGCATCCTGGGATGTAAGGTTATAGATACTTTGGAAACCGTTCTGGCTAGAATGCATAGTATAGGAAATGGCTGCAGGATGCTAAGGATGCGAAATATTGTGGAGTTTTTTTTTATTATTGCCCGGGCTCAATCTAAAACCCTATTGTAAGTCAAATGCCCCCATTGGTCTGAAATGTTAGACAGCTGTGAGGCCCCTTCATTCTGCAGAAAAGACTGAGACCCAGAGAGGGTCAGTAACTGGCTCAAGGTCACACAGCAAGGGAGGCTGAGGTAAGCACCCACAGAATACAGAGGAGTGCTGTCATTGGTAGCAAATTCTTCCAGATGAGGAAGCAGAGGGTGGTGGGGGTGGGTTGGAGCAATAGGGAGAGCTATTGTCACATTCTCGTTTCCTTCAGCCCTCCTCAATAAATGAGCCTGCTGGGGCTTCACCAGATGTCAGGCATTTGCTAACAAGGGGCAAGTTACTTTGCCCTTCTGTGCCTCAATTTCCTGATCTATAAAACAGAGAAACTAATATCAACCTCATGGAAATGGTGTGATGAGTTGTTAATATAGGAAGACCAGGGCCTGGCTCATCAGAAGCATCTAAGAACATATACCTGCATGTAACCCTTTCCACACCCAGTGAGGTGAGCACTCAAAACACCCCAGCTGCACAGATGAAGGAAAAGGCTCAGAGAAGCTAAGTGACCCACCTGTGGTGGCAGAGTACGGGGATCCAGACCTGGCAGTAGACTCGGAGCCTCTTCCTTTCTTACTGACTATACCTTGCAAGGTCAGTACAAGTCTTGTCATTGGGATGAACCATGCTGAGATCAGAGAGGTTAAGCCACATGCCCAAGACCACACAGCCTGGAAGTGGGACAGCTCTGGACTGAGTTTCCCAAGTCCCAGTTTACCTAATATCCATTCCAGGGAGATTCTTCTGAGATAAAAGCATATATTCCACCAGGCAGGGAGTTGGGGAGGTGTCGTTGTCTCCTTTTGTTCACTGATGGATCCCAAAGTAGGTGTTCAGTAAATCTGACACCGATGAATGAATGACACAGATGCAGGAAAGCAGACCTAAGGAAATGTCCATGATGTATAGAAATCTGCCCTGAGACTGGCCCTTCCACCCCTTCTTCTTGCTCTTTTCCTTTTGGGTGCCAGGACCTCTTCAAAGATGCGGGTGCCTTCCAGAGGCAGGGGCCTGCACCCAGGACACGGTTACTCCTGCTCGGGCAGCGCCTCAAGTCGGCTCCTGTCCGGCCCTGTGAAGACCTCGTCCATCAAGGGCCTTTACTACCGCAGAGCCCGAAGGGTGGGCACCCTGGACGCTTCCCCGACTTCAGACCTGAAGAAGGAGATCCTGGTCAACGTGGGGGGCAGGAGGTACCTCCTCCCCTGGAGCACGCTGGACGAGTTTCCCCTGAGCCGCCTGAGCAAGCTCAAGTTCTGCCGCAGCCACGAGGAGATCGCTCAGCTGTGCGACGACTATGACGAGGACAACCAGGAGTTCTTTTTCGACAGGAGCCCCAGTGCCTTCGGGATGATCGTGAGCTTCCTGGCGGCCGGCAAGCTGGTCCTCCTGCGGGAGATGTGCGCGCTGTCCTTCCAGGAGGAGCTCACCTACTGGGGCATCGAGGAAAGCCGCCTGGAGAAGTGCTGCCTGCGGACCCTGCTGAAGAAGCTGGAGGAGCTGACCGAGCTGCGCCGTGAGGAGGTGCTGCAGAGGCAGAGGGAGGCCTGTGGCCCGGCCGCCCACACCTCGCGCTGGGGGCTCTTCATGAGCAGGCTGAGGGAGATGGTGGAAAACCCACAGTCGGGACTTCCCGGGAAGGTCTTTGCTTGTCTCTCCATCCTCTTCGTGGCCACCACGGCGGTCAGCCTGTGTGTCAGCACCATGCCCGACCTGAGGGCCGAGGAGGACAAGGTGAGTGGCCTCTGACCAGGGGACTTTCCTCTCCCACGCACAGCGCCCAGGGACCCTGAGAATTAGGGTCCATGAAAATGTTTTACTGGCTTTTGAAACAAGAAGGGAAAAAATGAATATGATCCAGCACGAGTTATGTTCATATTTAGCCCCATGGAATCATAAAAAATTTGTTATTTTTTTTCCTTGGAGGAAGGGGTACCAGTCCAGCCTGGCAGTCCAGCCTCTGAAAGCGAATCCTGGAGATTGACAAAGTCGCCTCTGGTGTTAGTGAGCAGGACAGGTCCAGCTCTGCTTCTCCCTGCTGTGTGACCACAAACAGATAGCTTCACCTCTCTGAGCTTCAGTTTTCTCCCCCTGTAAAATGGGTAGCAGTACCATGAAGGGTCACGCATTTGACACACATGCATACTGAGTAACTACTTTGTTCAAGTACTAGGCCAGGCATCAAATCCTGCCTCCCGAGCCCACATCCTCATGGGTATACTAGCACCATTTTCATATAAAGAAACTGAGGCACAGAGCAGTTAGCGTCCTCAAAGTTGCAGAGTGAAGATCCTATAGACGGCAGAAATTCTCACACCTGTTTCCCGGCTTGCAGCTTTGCTCCTGAGTTGCTTCTGCTGCCTCTGTGGATGGGGAAACACAGATGAGTTGATTTATAAGTGATCCTGCCCCAGAGGCCAAATAAAAATTTTTGTTTTCAGGGAGTTAAGGGAGACCCCAAGACCCCTCAGGGGGCAGATGGTCTGAAAAATGAGATAAGAACCTAACATTTTGTTGGGAAGATTATTCCAACTGAAATCTGGATTGTTTAATAATTTTTAATATTGGGGCTCTCCTCTATTTTTCTATGGCTCCCCATCACCCTCACTCATGAAACTTATGTTATGGCAGATGGAGAGAGTCAATGAACAAGACAATGCACCTTGCAAGTGGTTCATAACCATTGTCAGTCATCGTGAGTGCCCGTCCCTGAAAGAAATATCCCGGGGCAATGTGGTAGGATCAGAGAACTTTCAAGATAGAAAGATCTTAGATGGAAAATCACCCCGAACCTCACACAGAGCAGGTTCTGAATCAATATTTGTGGAATAAAGTGTATCTTGTCCAACCTATAAGTGCTCTGTCCTAAAGCACACCGACCAAAATGTTTGGACTTTGGAACAGCTCCCCGACCCCCAGCCCCCACCTTCCACCCCCCAGCCCCTGTGGAGACCATAGCTCCGATCACAGGCATTTTCTCATTCTGTAGCGCAGAATCACATGATTTAAAAGCTTGCTGATTCACAGAAATATTTACATGTGATCTCTGCAGTAAAAAGATCAGGACAAAGTAATTGGCCTCCAATCCTACCCCACCAGGGACCCCCTGATTCCAGGGGCTAGGGACCCTCACATTTCCACATGCCAGTGGGATTTCCAGGCTCCTAGCCTGTGCAAGGAGCCAAGGTCTTGTCAAAGCCTAATGCTTTGGCAGTTATGAAGGGTATGAACCCAGGCTTGGTTTAATGTGACCCAGAAAATCACATGAGAGTGAGAGGGGTGGCGCCCAGTGTGAGCTGAGGACTCAGACCGCCATGTCCACTCCTGGGAGGACTGTGCCCACATGGAGAAAGCACAAGTCTCTGCCTTGCCTTCACGAGGCCGCTGGATGTGCTGCCCTGCAGGCAAGAGGCGCGTCCCTCAAAAAAAAAAAAAAAAAACATTTTCTGTTTAGATCATAATTCAGAGAGTCAGGAGGCTGAGGGCAGGGCGGTCTTTGCTCTTTCAAGTCTGTGTCCATCCATTTACTTTACAAAATGATGCTCTCTCTGCCATACCTGCCTGGTATTTCGAATTCGCCCTCAGCCATCGGCAAGAAAGTGATCCTTCAGTCCTGCTGCTCTTGGCACAGGCTGTTTCTGGGAGATGCAGGACTAGTCCTCCCCAGGAACCCTGGCAGAGTCCCAGGACTCCCACCCACAGGACGCCTTCATCAGACACGGAAGAGGTGTGACCCTGGGCTGGAGAGTTAGAACACATGCGAAGGAAAAATTCCTTTTTTCATCCAACTTTTCACAGCAGTGTCCCTTGGGATGCAGCTGGCAGTCGGGTGAAGGTCTGTGTCCTAGACACAAATTAAAAGGCAAGAGGAGGCAGCACAGACAGAAAGAACCGAGCCAATAGCCTCTGCACCTTAAGACTCATTGAAACTCTGCTGGATTCCTAGGGGGAGCTCGTTCCTACATCAAAGAATGTAGGTTTATTAAGCCCCCCAGCCCCTACCCTGAGGCTGTATTCAAAGGCATGAGCTTCCTTCATCCTTGCCCAGCACTGGGAAGTAGATGACACCACTGCCCCCATTTTACAGATGAGGAAACTGAGGTCAGGGAAGTGTGACCACTCTTTTTTATCTCGAATTCATAAGTGGCAGAGCTGGGTTTAAGCTCACCTCTGCTTGGCTCCAAAACCTGACCTCAGGGCAATGCTGAGCCACCTGCCTGTCCAGTAGAACACCTGGCAGCAGAAGCTCTCTTCTGCAGGAACATTCAGAATGCTCATACTCCAGATTTGAATCTTGGCCTCCCCCTTGGGGAAGTCCTTCCACCTCATTGAGCCTCAGTTTCCTTGTCTATAAAGTAGGGACCCTATTAGCCTTTTCCTCCAGGGTTTATGGTAAGAGTTGAAAGTAATTCGTGTAAAGCCGCAGAACAATGCCGACACATGAGAAATGTTCAATAAATGTTAATAGTCATCGTCATCATTTGCTAACTAGGTACTAGCTAATGGGAAATCACAACGTTTATTTATTTGTTCCTTCCATAAGTTTTGGAGTATACTCCTCTGGGTGTGAGGTAAGAAGGTTTCTTACCATCTTGGACCATTTTAGAGTGAACTCTTCAGTGGCACTTAGTTCATTCACAATGTTGTGCAGCTACCATCTCTATCTGATCCAAAATAAAACCCCATACCCATCAGCATTCACTCCCTGTGGCCCCCACTGCAGCAGCCACTGAGCTACTTTCTGTCTCCATGGATTTCCCTCTGCCAGACACCTCACCTAACAGATTCCTATAGTATGTGGTCTTCTGTGTCTGGTTCTTTCAGTTGGCATGATGTTGTCAAGATTCATCCATTTTGTAATGTGTGTCGGTGTTTTATTCCTCTTTATGGCTGAGTAATATTCCACTGTCTGTATATGCTACAGTGTGTTCATCCATCCGTTGATGAAGGCTTGGTTCTTTGCTTCCTGTTGCCCATGGCTTCCTCTGTGATAGTCAACCCTGTCAGTCATCCCTGGCACCCTTTCCACACTGCTGGTCAGAGTACTTTTCCCTCCCCCTGGAAAAGGTTGAAGGTCACAATCAGCTGCAGTGTAACACTCACTTCTCCTTGACTTCTCCCTTCTGCTTTACTGCAACCAAGATATCCCCAGTAACTGGACAGCAGCACCAAGTCCTAGGAAAAAGCCAGACCCTCTAGTTTGCTAATCCTAGGTCTGAATTCCAGCTCAGCTGCTGCTTATCTCTACCGTTGAATACGCCCCTTGGTTCTCTCTGCCTCTATTTCCTCGATTACAAATAACACCTACTCAGGGTGACAATAAGGACTGAAGGAGGCTATTTATCATGTGCTGGCTCTGAGCAAACACCCACTATGCTGTTACCCACCCTTGGGACTGAACCCACACCCCTTCCACCTGCTCATTTCCTGTGCTCATCAGCCTTTCTCCCAGCTCCATTGAACCCAAATGGCAACAGCTAGATGACTCAGATGTCCTCTTTCCTTTCCAGTGGCTCTCATCATCCTTCACTCCTTCGCCCTTTCTGAGCATCTCCACCATGCTGGGGATGCAGTGGGGCCAAGAAGAGGCACAAATCTGCAAATCCACCTCCTCTCCTTTCTTACCCCAACTTAGATACCGCTCCTGCCCCAAGGGTTTGCTGGGGGTCATCAGCAGCAAGGGATGTTCCTCCCTGAACTGCACAGTGTAAAGTGCCCCAGGGGCTGCAGGACCTCAAGGGTGCTGCCTCTCGCTTTTTCTTCCATCCTGCACTGTGGTGTCAGCATCTTGCTAAGGTGAAGGGCTGGTGAGGGAAGTCACAGAGAGATTTATTTTTTAAGAAAAGGTGAAGCTATGGGGGACCCTTCGCTGGAACAATGTCTTCACGCAGATGAAGCTCATCTTAGCGGCTGCAATTTCCACCTCCACCTCCCTGCCTTTCATAAGCCTCATCCCAGAGTCAGCTTCCCCGCACCCCCCCCCCATCCCTTTCTTGGATCACAAAGCAGCTCCGAGCAGGACTGCCGAGCTCTCGGTCACTTCTCTGTTCATTGACATTTGGTAACAGCTCTAGGGAATTTTTCTTAATCTAGTTTTGGGTTTTGGGGTTTTTTCTCCAGCTGAGTCTCCCTCTTTGCTTATCAAAAAGAACTGTTCCAAATTTCTTGGATCCCTACCTCATCTAACCATGAAGCTCATGCTTTCCTTCTGCCATTGTTGCTCCCCTCTTTTCATGCCCAGTGCCCTGTCCCCCATCTTCTTAGTTCCACAGTATCCCCCATTTTGGGGGGCAGGTGAGGGAGGACTGCAGCTTAAGGCGAGGGCACGTCAGGAGAGATGTAGAAGGGGCATGGGTGGTGGTGTGGAAGAGGTGGCAGAAGGAGAAGCCAGGAAGGAATGAGTCAGCAGACTGGAGGAAACAACCCAGCCGAGACCTGAGATCAGAGGTACAAATGGAGGAAGTTGCCAGGCGGCGGCTGGAGGCCCAGCCGCTGAAGGGACAGGTGGGGCCAGCACTGGGCTGGAGGAGAGAAGGGCTGCATTCCCCAGAGGGCACTGGCAGGCAATGCTAGGAAAGGCAGAAGGGTACCAGGCAAGCTCCAAGGTCAAGACTTTGGCCCTAATCCCCTCCCTGATGGAACTTCTAGAACCTGCCCGTGTGGTCATCTGCTGGGCAGCCTGGCCAGGTGGACCCCAGAGATAGGACTTCATCCTCTGACTCCAGAGCCTCTTGTGCAGGTTTGCTCCAGAGCGCTGGGAAAGGGGCGGGGGATACTTGTGAGAACCCATCGCCACCTCACCCGGACTGATCCTGCCACCTCAGATTCCCATCCTGGTCTTTTTTCAACTAAGATATAATCCACATTATAGTATTCACCCTTTTAAAGGTGCAACCACCAGGACCTGATTCCAGGATGTTTTTGTCACCCCCGACGAAATCCCACATCTACTATCCATTACTCTCCCTTCTCCCCAACCCAGCTACCCCAGGCAACCGTGTGGACTCTACCTCCAAGGACTCCCCTTTTCTGGCCATTTCATATAAATAGAACCATCCCAGAGCTGACCTGCGGTGTCTGGCTTCCTTCACAGAACATGAGGTCTTCAAAATTTCTCTAGGAAGCATGTGTTGATGCTTCATTCCTTTTTTATGGCTGACTAATATTCCACTGTGTAGACAGACCGCATTGTGTTTATTTGTTCATCAGTTGCTGAGTACTTTTTTTTAGGTGGTTTCCATTTTTTTGGCTATGGTGAATCATGTGTTATGGGTATTGCTGAACAAATTTTTGCATGGATGGATGTTTTTGCTTCCTTCTGGTATATTCCTAGGAGTGGAATTGCTGAGTCATGTAACAAATGTATGCTTAACTTTTTTGAGACACCACAAGCTCTTTTCCACAGCAGCAATATTATATTTCTACTAGCAATGTTTGAGGGCTCTACTTTCCCCCATAATTTTTTTTTTTTTTTTTGTCTTTGTATTCACAGCCACACTATTCTGCATGGAGAGGCTGTGACTTCCAATGCGGAGTTTTTTAAACTTTTCATGATGGAAAATTTCAGGCATTTACAGTGTAAACAGAATGATAGGATGAACCTCCAAGTATCCGCTTTTCACAATTGGTCACAATCTGCCATTCATGATCTCTCCCCCCACCCCCTCCTCATCCAATCACTTATTGTTAATATCATTAATTTTATTTTTATTTGACATCTTTATAGGTATATTTACATACCTCAAAAAGCACAAATCTTTGTGGTACAATTTAACCAGTGGCTGTACCTGTGTAACCCATACTCTTTTTAAGAATATTCTCTCCAGGCTAGAAATTTCTCCCATGTCCCTTCACAGTCAATCCTCTTCCCCAGGGAGAGGCAGCTACTGTTCTGCTGATTGTATCCAGTGTAGGTGAGTGTTGCCTGTTCTTCAACTTCACGTAAATGAGAGCACATGTTGGGCATGTTTTGCCCCATGGCCCATCTGAAAGGCATCTGTGTCCCACTATCCACTCGGCCCACCTTCTAGGACCAGTCCATCCATGTTCTTCTTCACTGCATGTGGGCACCACCAACAGGGCAACCCACTCTCCTTGTTTGCCCAGAACTGAGGGGCCTCTGGTGACCTGGGACTTTCTGTGCTCAAATGCAAAAAGCTCTAGGCAAACCAGAACTAATGGTTCACCTTCCCTACAAAATACAACCAGAAACTCCTCAGCAGGGAAAGAGCAACTTTTTTCTTTCCTTCCTTTCCCCTTTTATCTATTTTTCATCAAAGATTGACTGCCCTGGGGATTATATCCTCAACTCAAGCCCCGTGAATTCCCACCACCCCGCTGCCAGCCACTATCCCACAAAGGGTGGTGGAGGCTGGGGAAGGATGCAGAGTGGAGCAGCAAGCAGGTGGGTGATGCTGCAAAGCCTGCTGCAGTGCAGAGAGGCGGCCGGTGAGGCAGGCTGTGGAGCAGTACATGCCTGGAATAGTCAAACGCCAGCAAGGAGGCACAGGGAGGACCCAGCTGCCTTCTTCGCCTGTTGAGTCACCTTCCCCAGCTATTGTGTCCCATCTTTGCAAAGGTTATTTTCAGGCTACAAGAGTCTCCTTAGTCAAGGGGAACTTCCAGAATATTGTGACAAAAGAGGCGTTGTAGTGACAATCTGGTACAGTGTCTGAAAAACTTCCAGGATCCTCCCAGTCAAGTGGGAGCTTACAAAATGCAGATTCCTGGAATCCACCTTGAGGTTTGGACTTTGTGTTTGGGGCCCAGGAACCTGCATTCGTAACACTGGTTACCCTCAGTGATTCTTACACTGGAGGTTTCTGATTCAACTTCGAGGAAAAGGGATTCTGTTCCAACCTCTTCAGTGGAAACTGACACAGAGAGAGGAGTGACTGTGGCAAGTCTGGAGCAAGATTGGCAAATTGGAATCCCAGACTCCCGAGCACTCCAGGATCCTGAAGCAAATCCCTGACAGGCATAGCAAAGACCTCTCAGCATGGGTGAGGTCCCCAGGAAAGTGAGACCTTCCTCAGCTTCCTGAAAAATCTAGTGATAGGAGCAGAGTATTGTGACCCTCATCCAGACCAAGCAGGCCTTGTCTGGGAGCCGTGAGTCAGCTCATAAAGGTGCTGTGAAGAATCTGGCACCCGCAGGAGTGCAGCCCGCTAGCTAGTGCGCACATCATGACCACTCGTGTTAACACGCACGTTACTTTTTATCTCTCCCGTTTATCACAACTCTCCTAGAGTTGAGAACTGGAAGTTAGAGGGGACAAATGTTCTGCCCAGTCAGTGATATTGAACCTGGTCACAATCACTCTGGCCCACACATACACCACAGCACTCCCGCCACCTCCCACCCTTTGCCGAGCCAGACAGACGTCCAGGGAGGAAGGACCCAGACTTTATAGAGGTTGGGTTGAACCAGTCGATTTCTCCATCAGCAGCAGTCAGCCAGAAAGGACATTTCAGTTTAGTATTTTTGTGAGCCCAGCCACTGGAAATAATTTCTTTTTCCACTTCAGAGCATTTTAATCCAAAGAAAACTGCAGTTGTCAACGTCTTGCTTCTCAGGGAACTGGCTTTGGTCATTCATTGAATAATCCATCATATGTACAATCATCACATAAATATATACACACGCACATTTAGAAGCAGGTTCTCAACTCTGGCTCCACATTAGAATCATCTGTGGGGCTTCTGGAAAGTTCTGCTGTTCAGGCTAAAACCTAGAGCAATTAAATTAGAATCTCTTGTGTCTCAAGCAGGACTTCAAAATTTCCCTGAGCCCCCAGGTGAGTCTAATGTGCAGCCGAGGCTGAGAGGCACTATGCTTCACAAGAGCTGCTCAAACATTTTTGTGTGCATACCAGTGACTTAGGGATCTTGCTAAAATGTAGAGTCTGATTCTTCAGGGATGGGTGAGGCCCAAGATTCTGTGTTTCCTTCCAGGGGAGGCTGATGTTTTGGGTTTAAGGCCCACTTTTGGAGTAGTGAAGGGGCAGGGAGCGTGAAGGACAAAGTAGAGAATTCACAGGACTCCTGTACCCACCTCCTCCACATCGCTGGGCTCTCCTGAGGGAGACAGATCCTTTGTGAATAGTTGTGATCACACGTCACAGGGCTCTCTGGGTGGATGTGGGAGTCTTCTCAGCCCCACCAGTCTGCAAGCCCCCAGAAGTGACATCTGCTTTACCACCTAACCTGGTGCCAGGCACAAAGTATCTTCAATCTATCTTTGTGGGATGAAAAAATGAGGGCTGGTGGGCAAAAAAAAAAAAAAAAAAAGATTACAAAAGAGCACAGTGAAACTGAGAGAACTGGGCAGGGGTCTGGAGTTGGCCATCTACTATGTCTGAGAACTCAGGTACATCATCTCCTCTGGGAACCGCTTCCTAAGCCATGAAATGATGTCGTGCTGCCTGTTCCAGTAACACTGGAATGTGGAAGTGGTGGCAGGAAGGCAGTGCATGGAGCACAGAGGAGTTTGCATTAGGTAAGGTGAAAGCTGGCTGCTGAAACAGAGGCTCCAAGACGGAGTGGCTTTCAACAGAGCAGAAGTCGATTTCTCTCATTAAAAGGAATCTCGGTGGAAAGGCAGTCCTCATTCTGAGACCCAGATTTTTTCCACCTTCAAATGCACTGGTCTAGTCTATCAGTCCTAAGCTGAGCTGCATGACTTCCATGTTGTAAGGGCCCACGGGAAGAGGAGGAAGTGTGTACAGGGACTCACACTAGCACCTAAAATCCTAGAACTGGAGGTGGCACACTTCACTTCTGTGCCTGTTCTGTAGATGGGGACTTAGTCATATGGCTACACCTAACTGCAAGGGAGGCTGGAAAGTGTGGTCTCTGATGTGGCTGGCTGGTGTATGCTCAGCTGCAGCTGTACAGAGAGGGTTTGAGCGGACAACTAAGTCTATGGCACAACTAAGTCTATGGCACAAGCTTAATGGATACAGGTGACAGATAGATAGATAGATAGATAGATAGATAGATAGATAGATAGACAGATAGATGTGATAGAGAAAAAAAGAATAAAGGGAGAATACATCGTTTAGCATGTAGACAATATATAGATTCCTCTATGGTCAGGGAGCTCCACATGCAGCACTGTGTCCACTCTCCAGCCTGTGCTGTGTCGCTCTCCTCCCCCAGGGTGAATGCTCTCAGAAGTGCTACTACATTTTCATCGTGGAGACGGTCTGCGTCGCCTGGTTTTCCCTGGAGTTCTGTCTGCGGTTTGTGCAGGCCCAGAACAAGTGCCAGTTCTTCCAAGGACCCCTGAACATCATCGACATCCTGGCCATCTCCCCATACTACGTGTCCCTCGTGGTGTCAGACGAGCCCCAGGAGGACAGCCAGCGGCCCGGCGGGGGCTCCTACCTGGAGAAGGTGGGGCTGGCTCTGCGCGTGCTGCGGGCGCTGCGCATCCTCTACGTGATGCGGCTGGCGCGCCACTCGCTGGGGCTGCAGACGCTGGGGCTGACCGTGCGCCGCTGCACGCGCGAGTTCGGCCTGCTCCTCCTCTTCCTCTGCGTGGCGGTCACCCTATTCTCCCCTCTGGTCTACGTGGCCGAGAACGAGTCCGGGCGGGTCCTGGAGTTCACCAGCATCCCGGCCTCCTACTGGTGGGCCGTCATCTCCATGACGACGGTGGGCTATGGAGACATGGTCCCACGCAGCGTGCCGGGTCAGATGGTGGCCCTCAGCAGCATCCTGAGCGGCATCCTCATCATGGCCTTCCCGGCCACATCCATCTTCCACACCTTCTCGCACTCTTACCTGGAGCTCAAGAAGGAGCAGGAGCAGCTTCAGGCGCGCCTCCGCCGCCTGCAAAACGCCAGCTCCCTCAGTGAACATGAACTCCTGGGTGATGTCAACGACGATCTGGAGGGGGCTGCCTCGCCCATCAAATATATGTAACTCAAAACCTTCGCAGAAATGCAGGGGTCCAGCCCACTGGCTGAGACTGAGAAGAAGGGCTCAGAGCACTAGGCAGAGACTGGTGTGTTATGTCCCTGGGGGAGTGTTCTAGAAGCCAGAAGTGTCTGGAGGGCAAAACTGTTAGATCCTTGTGATTCTTGATGCTTCTGGCCACTATGTCCCAGTCACTTGCCTCTTTCTCTCCTGCTCATTGCCGAGCAAATCCAATTTTGCTGGCTAGGTCAAATTCCCTTATTCTCGTTTCCTTCCGAGGTGTCTTTCACACCTCAAGCCCGGTTCCAGATACCCTAAGAACCAAGCATCTAGAATTCCATTCCTCCCCTAAGGCCCTCTTTCCTGGACCACCCCCTGCCAGGAGCTGGAAGGCCCAGTCAGTGCAAGCCCTCTGATTAGCCCTCCCCTTCCAGCCTTCTCGTGGGAACTAGCTGGGATGGTCCTTTTCTTTCTGCTCTCTACCGTTAACGGCATTTTCTGGACAAAACTGCCTCCCCCACCCCAGCTCTGGAAGCTCTTAGCCAAGAAGGCATATAATCTTGATACAGCCCATGTTGGGGTCTGGTGTCCACAAACCTGTCCTAATCCTCCTGAAACACTTGGACCTGGGCAGGAGTGGCACCTGCCAGCACTTGGCACATTGGGAGGGCGTTCTCCAACACCTGGCCTTGGTCTTGGCAGAGACAAACTCTTGCAAGGCTCCGCAAAGGACCCCTCCTGCTACCAGCTCCCCAGCAGTGTGGAGACCTTGACATTTCACCTTCAGCTAAGCTGCCACAGGCACAGCATAGCTTTAATGGGGGTTCCCTCCACCAGGCCCCCTGATGCAAGAGACTAAAGTCCCCAACTTACATTTCAATATATTCCTTGATTTAACCACCCATTCACTAACAGAGCTGGCTTATTGCTTCCAGCGTGGGAGGCAGCTGTAGGACCAAGTCATCGGAGAGAAAGCAGTGCGGTCTGAGGAGAAAGAGCAACGGCTCCTGAGCAGTTGTGAGAGGCTCCTAACGGGCATTGCAGAAACGCAGGAGGGGTTGATGCAGAGGGAGACAGGCAGAAAGGGGGTTGGGCTGATAAGGTGGTGGGCCGTAGGTGCTGTGCGAAGAGCTGGGATATTTTGGTAGATGGAGAGGACATGTAGGAGACGCTAGAGCAAAGAGTGAGGTGAAAGGGCCATGGTGTGGGTCACCACAGTCAGGGGTGAGCAGGGAGACCTGCTCGAACAAAGAACAGATGAGCAGTTCGGATGAGATACAAGCGTCTTCCTGTCAGAATGACTAATCATACGTGGTGGCACCAGATTCTGGCAGCAACTTTGTTCCCCAGCAGAACAAACCAGGGAGGGGGAGAGGTCTTGACGGCCCTCCCATGAATGACATGGCTGCACAGGACTGCTTGCCACGGGCTGTGAATCCACTGGAGAAAGTGTCCTGGGTACAGATGGGGAACACTGAGGCTGGCAGGCAGAGACCTGCAGATCCCAGAGTTTACGTGCAAGGGAGTTAGCGTTTTTTATCACAGGGGACTTGCAGTTCCTTCACGCTGCTGCTATTTCGCGGGGTGCGCTGTGTCTGGACAGCCCTCCCCCTGACCTCAGTGCGCTCTGGGCTCCAGCCCAGCCAGGACTCCAAACCTGCATCTACCTTAAAATTGCCTTGGCTTCGTGGGGAGCCCTCCTTTCCTTGACTCCTCTGGATGCCCGCCCAGCTGATGGGGCCACGGGTTGCCATCCCCCGGAGATGCTCCAGAGTTCAGGGGAGTGCCCCCAGCCCTTCCCACAAGGACATTGCATGAGGTAAGCTCTTTGCACAGCGGCACAGTAGCCTTAACTCCCTTTCCCTCTGCCAGCTGGGGGTGTGGAGGGCTTGGGCTGATCTCTGAATTTCTGGCTGGGGTTCCAGGAGGCATTCTTAGGGCAGCCATGTGGGTGGAGAGTGCTCTATCCCAAGATGCAACATTAACACATAACATTTTTTTAAAGAATGTGCAAAAATCTGGAAAGCCTCCCCACTTCCAGTCAGTGCCAGCCCACAGCCCCCTGAATGAAGGGGATGAGCTCACCAGGGAAGCAGAGTCCTGGGACCCACATCACTCCCCCCACCCCTTGACCCCATCCCCCCTCCCAGGGCTGCACAGTGGCATCTCCGTTTCACAAGCCAGGCTGAACAAAGGGGTGCCGGGACTAAAAGATAACTAGGGGAGTCCCTCACTAACCTTCGCGGGTTCTGTGGTGTCTCACTACATGCCCAGTGGAAATTCTCTACTAAATGAGAAGTGGAAAATTGGAATTGATGGCTGGTATGTGGGGCTTAATTAAACGTCCTATTTTTTTCTCCCTGATGAAGCCCCGGGGGGTGGGGTAGTCCAAGTTGTGTTAGTCTGGCCTTGCAGAGCTGCCTTTCCTGCGTGCCATCGGAAGAGGTGGGGATGACAAGCAGTTTGCAAGGCATTTTCTTTATCCCTATTGACTGAGCGCTGGCGTGCGAGTCCCAGGAGGGCTTATTTCTGAGGCTAATGGTGGTGCCTGTCACCAAAAGGCAGCAAATGGCTCTTTTCTTCAATTCATCTTCATGTGGCTTCATAGATGGGGCCCCAGAGGTGACTTTAAAATGGTGGATGAACATCCCTCTAGCCAGAGTTGAGCCCAGAAGTGACTTGGGGATAGCTGGGTTTGTTCTTCTTTTCTGTCCATCTTGTATAACCCCATAATTAGATCGAGGTTCTTGACCAGACTGCACGGGGGCTTGTTTGTGCCCCTCTCGTGAAATCATATCTGGGGGTGATGTGCTCTTCATTAATATGATATGAGCCCTCTATTTGGGAGGTGACCCCAGGAATCACTGAGAGGAAGGTAGAAAATGCAAAAGGGAAGAGAAGAAAAGCTGGAAAGTACTGACAAGGCCCCCAAAGGTATTCAAATACAAAACAGAATTAACCCTGATCCCACGTGCAGGCCAGATGGAACATGCTAGAAGGTGGGGCATGGGGGCATGAACAGGCCACTCAAACCACCTCTTTTTTTTTTAACATTTAAATTTATGCATGCAAGAGCTGGGGTGTAGGACAGAGGTGGGGAGGGTGAGAGGATTCACCAGAGACAAAGTGGGGAACAGAACAGGCAGATCGATGGAAACGCACTGCTGAGGGGAGCAGTGGGAGAGACAGGAGAGGTCTGCTGCACCATGTGGGTAGCTCCCTGGCCAGGGATCGAACTCGAGCTGCAGTGGCTGGTGATAGCTTCCTAAGGCTGAGACTTAGTCCCTTGCGCCACCAGGGAGGCCCCCAAACCACCTTTTTGAGGAGGAGCAGTAATGTCCTTCTAGCAAATGAATTAGTTAGTCCATGAAGCTCAGAGCCAGTCCTCTCTCTCCACCTGTAAGAAGGAGGGGCGTGTCCCATCCTTGTCAGCCCTGGTCAGCTCAAGAGGGCCTGCTGCACAGATAAGCACGAAAGGACTTTTACAGTCACTGAGGCCAACTCGCCCGTTTTCAGCTATGGGCTTGAAGGCCCAGGAGTGGACATAATGAGATGAGTCACACGGTCAACCACAGCAAAGCCGGGACAGCCAACTGGTGCCATCCACCCTGCACCCCCATCCTTGCTTGCCAATCCAGCATCGGACACCTAACCAAGAGTCCCTCCAGGAGGAACACTGTGGGAGCTAAAAATGAGATAGAACAAAGGTGACTATTGTCCCTGTGGCCCTGTGGCACCTTGGTCTGCTCGGGATGATATATGGAGGATGAGCTGTGACCTTCAAAATTCACCTTTGCTATAAAGGGAACAAAGCTGGGGAATGCTGGACTCCACAGGCCATGGCTCAGAAGGAATTCGGGCACCCTGAGCTAAAATTAGCCAATCTTGCTGATTCCAAAAGCCTCCAGTGTACTCAGCCAGCGACCAGCTTGGAATAGGATCCCTGGGAAGCTCAGCAATTTCCCCTTCCTAAGCTTTCAGGGCTCCCCACTCCCTGTAACTCCAAGAGAAACAATAAATGATAGTGAAAGTGATGTTGTGACTTCTGTGGTATTGGGGAGCTCCAGCCAGCGGGCTGAGGTTGGGGTTGTGTAAGAAGGTGGGAGAGTCCCCCAAGTAACAAAAGTCAGGGGTCACTCACTCCTGGCATCCAAATTAGATGTTGGGAGGTGTACTGGCTGGGACTGGGAGCGGTATTTCTTAGTACTCACCAAGTACCAGCTGTTCTAGCATGGCAGAGATAGCAGTAAATAAGACAGATGCTGGCATGGACATGGTGAAGGGGGGTGAGGTGAGGTCAGAAGGTAGATCACAGATAAGCCAAGAAGGAAACTAAACAAAACAAGCTCAACTCGTGATACATCCCAGGAAGGAAGAGGGCATCATGATGAAGCGAGTAACCACAAGGGGCCTGGGGTGTCAAATTTGGACAGGATTCTGAGGTCTATCTTGGTTCTCCCAGATCTTTGGCTCCCCCAGAAGCTGTTTATTTGGGAGACAACCCCAGCAAACACTGGTTGGGGAAAGAGAAGTGGAAAAGGGAAGGGAAGCAGTCAATCCGTGGTATAGTATCAAGCCTGTTGCCCCTGTGGGCCAACTGCAGCTTTGATGTGCCTGGGAAAATGCCAAAGGTTTATTGTACAAAAGTAAACTTTACCCTCACACTAGATCCCAGTTCCCACTTTTGAGGACAGACCCATAAATATCAGTTAGAAATGGTTTTAAGTACAAGAAACCCTAAACCATATGACCCAGCAATTCCACTCCTGGGGATCTACCCATAGAACACAAAAACATTGATTCGAAAGGAAACCTGCACCCCTATGTTTATCGCAGCACTATTTACAATAGGTAAAACCTGGAAACAACCAAATGCCCAAAAAATAGATGACTGGATCAAGAAGATATGGTATATTATTATTATTATTATGGAATATTATTCGGCAGTCAAAAAAGATAAATTCATGCCATTCGCAGCAACGTGGATGGAGCTAGAAGGAATTATGCTCAGGGAAATAAGCCAGATGGAAAAAGAAAAATATCAGATAGTTTCCCTTATAGCAGGAATATAGGGGAACCTAATAAGACATCAGTGCAAAAAATAATAACAGTACAAAACACAACAAAGCAAAAATGGACAATTATAAATCAGAGACATCCTGCAGGGGAGGAGGAGGGAGAGGGATCAGAGGGAGGGAGGGAGGGGAACAGGGGACTGAGGTGATGGTGCACGGGAGCATTGGGGAAGGAAATTCTATGGGGATACACCTGAGGGGGTGGGGAGAAGCAGATGTTGTTTAAAAATGAACAACAATGTAAAAAAATAAAAAATAATAATAATAAAGGGGAAAAAAGAAACTCTAATCAGATTTCATTTAACAAACAGAAGGAGACTTACTGGCTCTTATATGGAAAATCCAGATGGAGTTCAGGTGTGGTTTAATCTAGGTGTTCAATAAACATCAAAACAAAAAAATTCAGATTCTCTGCACCTTCCCTCTGCCTCCCCCAAACTCTCATGGCCACAAGATGGCTGCACAAGCTCCAAGCATCACACCCTCATTCCATCAAGTCCAAAGAGGAGAGAAACCTTTAGGTCCCCAGAACCTCAAGCATGTGTAAAATTGGGTCATTCTGGCTCTGAGTGAGTTGTGTGCACACACCAAACAATGTGGCTACACTGATT